TGAGCCAAAGAAATTACATTTTATATAATAACAGTGTAAAGAAAAAATAAATTGAAAAATTTGTAAAACCAAGATGTGTATTTTCACCTGCTAAATAGGTATGTTATAAGAACATGTCTAATATTTGAGATTTCTATTGAAGCAAAAGATACATGGGATGTAATTAAATGACCTAGTCTCTGAAAATAATGGTTTTTTTTCCTATTTCTTAGTATAACATTTAGAAGTAAAATGATGATTTCTTTGGCTCAACAGTGGGGATAAAAAGTTAACCTACTGTTTATCTGTTTACAAAAGTACATTTGCAGCTGTAAACTTTGGTTGTTATAGATTACATGTTTTCATTCTAAAGTCTTTAGGAGGAATATAGATTCCACGCTGATATAATAAATATTGTATTAGGTAAGGGAATTCATCGAAGTCTCTGAGTTTTGAAAATATGCATTTTTACTACGTATACATTAATACCATTTTTGTTACAGATGTTTTACTTTGGATACAGAGCATTCTGTGTCCCTTGTAGTATTAGATGTCATATTAAATTTATATACAACAAGCAAAAGAACTGTTAAAGGAATGTGTAGCACTAACATTTTAATTAGAACAGTAAATGATAATCTGCATGGGGTGAACTTAAGCAGTGAAGTTCCAATTACATTAGTCATAATATTTTCATTTAATAACTAGGAGACAGGTCATTAAAAACGTGATTACAACAAGATCAAATCCTAATTTATAAAGGCAATGAAAACAAACAGCATATTAAAATCCTTTTAAAAAGCAGTTACTGTAGTATTATAATGAGATGCATTTTCTTTCAAAGTTTCTTACAAGGCAAAGGTCAAACCTTACACTATTCTTGCTTGTTAAAACATTGCAGAAGACCAGCTAAATCCCAAACCATAGACATAATACAAAATGATTTTATCCTCATGGGCTTTTCCTGCTGGTCCAAAACTATTTGAATGGTTATAAGGTGAAAGATAATGCTGGAAGATGAGGACAAATCACCTCTTCTAAAGAAGAGGCCAGAAGCTGTCTTAATAACTCAGGAACAATGAATTACAGAGTGCAGGTATATTTTTTATTACCTATATTCCCACCATATTTCCCACCAGATGAAAATAAGTTGAATCTTCAAAATGTCATCCAGTTTGTAGTCCAATAGGAAAAGGGGTACAGATGGTCTTGACAGGAAAGGCCTGAGAGTGCCCTGACTGGTATGAAGAAAGCACTTTGAGCCTTGATCTCTGAGTTCAAGGTCAAGTGGGGAATGCATTTTTCTTGGTTGACATTAGGGGCAAGTAAGGTCACTTTACTGTTTTCAATCAATTGCCTAATTATATCCATAACACAGGAACTTTTCATTGTATCTTTAAAAAAAATGAACATTTCCTTGGATTTAGGAAGCAATATGAATCCTATCTTTGTTACTTTTCTTCTTTCTCTGTTGCTGACAAAAACTGACTTTCTAAGAGCACCAACAGTCATACCTCCTCTTGGAAATTCCTTTTGAAATGTCATAGCCCCTATTAGAGTGACACAGACCTCTTCCTCCGCCTGACAAAATCTTCTGCATGAATGAAATTGGAAAGAGCCTTAGAGAGGTGACTGTCCGATGTCTCAGTGCTACTTCCAAAGTCATAGTTCTTCAGGCAAGGGCACAGCCAGCATACAATGGCCCTGCGAATATAGCTGTCGAAGGCATAGTAAATTAGAGGGTTGACACAGCTGTTGGCAAATGCCAAGGGCCCACTCACCTCCATGCCCAGCTGAAAAGTCGTGGAGGAAAACTGGAATTCTGACTGCAACCCTGAAACAATGGCCAGAAACTTGAAAGTATTAAAGGGCAACCAGGAGAAGACAAAGGCGGCCACTACAATCAAGACGATCTTTATGGATTTCCTCAGCTTTTTGTTATGTTTTCCTGACTGCTGGTAATGAGCACACAGCCTCCTTGTGATGCAACAGTAGCAGGTCACAATGCTCAGCAGGGGAATAAAAAAGGTGACAATTAGCGCTACCAGAGCCCATACCAGTTTTAGTGACGTGGCCTTCTTCTCTGCGCAATATGGCTTACCTTCCATGTGAATGAGCTCCCTGGACAGGAGAGTGGGCAGTCCCAAAAGGCAGGAGATGAGCCAGACGCTGGCGCAGACTCCGTAGGCACAGTCTCTCTTCCTTAGTCTCCTGGATAAGGCTGGGCACATGATGGCCAGGTAGCGATCCAGGCTCATGCAAGTGAGCAAGAAGATGCTGCAGTGCATGTTCACTGAAATTGCGTAGGAGCTGCCTTTGCAGAGGAAAGTGCCGGTCCTCCATACTCCCAGAGAGGCTTCCTTATCCACCCAGAGAGGCAGTGTGACAAGGAAAATGAAGTCAGAGGCAGCCAGGTTGATGATAAAGATGTCGATCAATCTTCGGTTGCCACGTTTGAAATGCAGGGCACCCATGAGGATGAGGTTCCCCAGTACTCCAGTTAGGAACACAGCTGTGTAAAAGATGGGGAGGAAGACAGATGTGTAGGGAACATGGGAGTGGGTTTCCATCATGATATCGGGGTTTGGGCTTGTAGCATCATAATAATCCAAAAAGAGCAGGGTTGTTGCTTGGTCCATCACAGAAGATCAAATGTCAAAACTGGTAAGTGTCCTTGCCTATGAGGTGTTGGTATCAGCTTGAGAAATCAGAGCTTCTTTTATACAGTGCCTGCCTCTTTCTCTCGTTCTCTAAAGATCTTGGACAAACATGAAAACAGGTTAAAAAATGTAGTTTCTACCAGTCTTCTGAAAGGGCCCACAAGGAACACCCTCTGATTGGTGTTGGTTGTGGTTGTGGCTTGCTTTATTTGTACTTACCCATGAAACTGAGGTGCTTTTTGACTTCTTTATTCAAGATGTTTAATGTTTTCTTAAATCCAGAAATCAAAAAAATTAATCAATGTTTTTATTTTCACCTCTGTTAAAAAACTTGGCTTTTCTGACACTAAATTATTTTCATCTAGCCTTCTGTGCCACCTTTAAAGTACCGTTCTAATTGTAGAATTTTAAAGTGCTGATGAATGTATTTTTTACACTGTGGGTGATATGTGAAGAATAGTGTTTTTTACTGCATAAGGGGGAATTGTAGTCTTCCTCATCACCTTGCACATAGTTCATACTTTGGAAATGTTAGGTTTAATTCAGAAACTTATTTTTGTGATACAAAATAATTAAAACATTTTATTATTTTTGTGTGCATGAGAGTATTGCCTGCATGTATATAAGTGCACCCATGTTGTGAAATGCCCATGGAAGTCAGAAGAGGGAGTCCTACCCTGAAACTAGTTATTGGTGGTTGAAAACTGCCATGTGTGTGCTGGGAACCAAACCCAGGTCCTTGGCAAAAGCAGTCAGTGATCTTAACTGCTGGAGCAATCTCTCCAGCCCCAGAGGATAAATTTTAACAGGGGTGAATTTATCTGAGTCTAAGTGTAAGCATTGTTACAATTTACAAAGATTACAAACATGTTTAAAAACTCACAAACTGCTATTTTTATCCTCTTAACCTGCTAGTACAACTCAGTCACAAAGTTCTCTTTTATTAGTTTATATCCTCAATCAAGAGTTTTCTTTCCACTAACCCTTTAATAACTGTTTCTCAGACTACAGATTCTCCTTGTTCCTTCAGTTCCTCCCTTTGTTGCAATTGCAGTAAGGATAGCTTTAGCTTTTTTTTTTTTTTTTTTTTTTTTTTTGACAGGATCTCACTCTGTAGGGCCCAGATGGTTTTAAATTCAGATCTTCCTGCTTCATCCTCCTGAATCCTGGAATTAAAGGTGCTGGCCACCACTCTTAGCAATTTTTTCAAAAATCTTTTGAGCCATCACTTTTCATTAAGTACCTCTACATATGCGTGAGCTCCACTGTGGAATCATTGACCTGGCACTAGATGAAAACATTTACATAAAGAGTCTTCATAATGAAGCTGCTGGCTTCAGATTTTCAGTACAATAAAACATTTGAAAAACAAAGTGAAATAGAAGGCAGTTCATCACATGAATTCATGTGTACTTCCTTTTTTCATATATGAAGACAATAGCAAAACAGAACAATATTTGAAGTTGACTCTTTGAAGTTGACTCTTTTGATTTCAATTCTTTTTTTTTCTTTTTACAGTTAAGACGTCAAGAAGGAAAGACTTTCTGAACTTGAGGAAAGCATTTCTTAACTGAAAATATACAAATTTCATACAATATTTTTGATCATATTTAGACACCCTCTCTTATCTGCACCCCTCTAATAGCCTTCTCACTGGATTTCGTGTACCCTGTCATATATATTAAGGTCTATTGAGGCAAGTTTGTGTCCCCAAATGTCCTTTGGTTTGCCTGGTTAACTATCTAGCGTCACAACCAACTCTCCTTCTCAAGTATAGGTTGCCAATAGTTCCTCAGTTAAGGTTGAGGCTTCTTCCCCACTGCCCCACTTCTATGCTGGGATTTTTTTTCTGGCTTGAGTTTGCATAGATCTTGTACATGTTTCATATGAATAACTTCCTGGCTATCTGGAAAACTTTGTTTCCTCTGGCTCTTACAATCTTTCTGTCCACTCTTCTATAATGGTCCCTGAGCCTTGGGCAGCAGAGGTTTGATATAGGTGTCTTATTCAGGGATAAGCACTCTGCAGTCTCTTATTCTCTGTACTTTGGCCATGGTGGCTTTCTGAATTAATCACCATCTGCTGCCATGAGGAAGCTTTGCTGGTGAGAATTGAGAGGTAAATTAATATGATTTCAATTCTTACAGGCCAAAGTGGTATAAAACTCTCTTGTCCTCTTTCTTCTCCTTCTTTTTCTCCTTTATCACTTCATATTTAAAATGCCAGTTTCAGAGTAAAATTAATATTGCATAGAAGAGTGCATTCCCATATATGAAAATGCTATTGTTAAATATTTAAAATCCTTCTTACAGAAATTTAATTTATCCAGTAATTGGTATATTGAAAAGAATTACTGATATGGTCTAAGGTCATTTCTATTACAAGAAGAGAGGTGAGATCAGGAAGGGTGAGGACTCCTCTGATGTGGAACAGCCCTAAAATGTCACTCAGGAGTTGATCTATGGATCTGGCCTGCCTTCTCCATTGTCCTTGACTGCTCTGTACTATTCATTAATATCATGGGAGGGTATATTCTTCACTAAATAGACTGCAGTTCAGAGAACCAATTAACAGCTTGACAGTTCTGGGACAGAAATACTTCCCACTGGGTAAACTTCATTTAATAGACTAATTCATTTTTTCAAATAGTTTGAAGTGGGACAATGCTTATGTGGAAAAGAGTGGTCATGTGAAATAGAATATTTCAACATTTCATGAATATGTGTATGCACTGAAGAACTAATCATATACATTATTTGTGGTTGTACTTTAATTGTAATGTTCAAATGCTACAATCAGAGGTTACTTTAGTATTTGAGAAAATAAGGTTGATTCTGGGCTAAGACATTTGAATCCTTAGATGCATGTCAAGACTATATCTTGGGGCCAGTGAGATGGTTTAGCGGGTATAGGTGCTTACCACCAAGCCTGACAACCTGAGCCCAATCTCTGGAACCCACCTAGTAGAAGGAGAGAATTGGAGGTCTTCTAACCTCCACACATGTATCACACATGCGCGTGCGTGCGTGCACGCGCGTGCGCGTGCACACACACACACACACACACACAACCTCAAGATAAATGTAATGAAAAATTGAAAAAGAATTCAAATTAAAAATATAAAATAGAAAAGAGTTCATGCTCATATTTTTGAGGAAAAAGTTTGTTCATTTTTGTTGGCCTGGAGTTGTCTTTGAAACTTGTAAAGTTGCTGAGCTGGTGACGTAAACTGTATCTAATAAATCTGACATTTTCAGCAAGTTTTAAAGCAGTTATGAAGTGATTGCTTTATCCTTTGTGGCAACTCTGAAGTGTGATGTGCAGTGAGGCTATAAGCATGAGTCTTCTTCATGAGGAGACCGTCTATCACCGGTTGATCATATCTCTAAACCTAAATTACAGAATCAAACAAACAAAAAAACCAAAAACAAGAAAACGGATTGTTCGAAGTCAAAGAAAGGAAGAAAGCAGCATGGGTCCAGGCTTTTAGTAACTCAGAATTCGATGTGGGCATAAAGCAAACCCACAGTAAATGCTAACTCTAGAGTAAGGAAGTTGCAAGAAAGCTGAGTGCAAGGGTCATTTTTAGCACTTTGAATGCCCTTTAAAATATATGTGCAGATACTAACAATAAAATAATCAGTTAACTAGGAGATCTGACAGCCTCTTCTGACCTCCATGGGCATTGCACGACACGGGTGCACTTACCTACGTGCAGGCAATATACACATACACATAAAAATATAAAAATAATAAAATATTTAAAAAATCAGTTAAACACAGGTGAAAATTCAAAGCAACCCTGAGTTCATAAGCATGAGTAAAGGCAATAAAGACAAGCTTCCCGCAAAGAGGAAAAAGAATGTAAATATTAGTATTTGGATTAAAGTATGCATATGCCCCTTAAGAACTGTTTTCCTAGGAAAAAACCCCTCTCAACTTTAATTCCCAATCCCTGACCAAAGTAGTACTTTTGTTCTCAATCCCTGACAGAAATAATATTTATTTATTTATTTATGTATTTATTTATTTATTTATTTATTTATTTATTTATTTATTTATTTATTGAGACAGGGTCTAACTATGTAGTTCTGGCTGGTCTGGAACTTGCTTTGTAGCTCAGGTTGGCCTTGAACTCACAGAAATCCACCTGCCTCTGCCACCTGAGTGCTGGTATTAAAGGCATATTCCACCATGCCTGGCTCCATTCGAGTTTTAAAATACTTTTTATATAGTACTCCTGATCCTGTTTCCTGTAGTTAGTTGCTTTGGCATCTGACCTGCACTGATCATGAACAACTGGCAGAGTCCATCTGTTCTCTCAGTCTAAAACAGACAACATCTACCCAGATAAAGTCCTTTTGGACTCTCAAAATCATAGTTTTGATCCTATTACCTACATTAGAGTTACCTAGGATACCTAGTTATATAGATTCCCAATTCCTGCCTTCATCTATTGACTCAGTCACTGGAGATGCAGCCAAGCATGTTATATTTACACACATCTTGGGTGATTTGTACACATAGACAAGTTTAGAATCATCATTCTTACATAAAATAATCAACATGTTTTGTTATTACTTTGGCTTTTTTTTTTTTTTTACTTTTATCTGCATTTATTTTATGTTCAATTTATTCCTGTGCTGAAGCTTTTGTTTCTTCAGTTTCTTCTGGGATACCTTTTTCTTTTGTGTAACCTCCTCTTCAGGCTTAGGAACAATTCGTTCCTTTTCAGTGAGGATCGTTTCGGTGTGGCAGGGGAGCTCATGTATGGGTTAATCTGATCACGAGCTCTGTAAACTCTGCGTGCATCTTGGGTGGTTTGTTCACCTGGATATTCTCAGTGACCAGAGAGTCTATTAGCTAAACACTTATGTTCAGCATTACTCTCTGAATTTTTAAGCACGTGCAGCAAAAATTCAGCACTCTTTTTGGGCCACCAACTCTGAGTCCAGCCCCACTATTTGGCCTAGGCACAC